ATTCATTTCCTGTAGGCATACAGACCGAGCAGGTGTCCAAGGTTCTGGTTTTGGTGGAGGAGGAGCTATGCAAAGTAGGGACCAGCCTTTATTGATCCTTGAGAAGGGCGAGTAGAAGAGGAGTTGGTTTTATATCCTGCTCTTCACTACCTGAAGGAGTCTCGGTGTGGCTTACAATCACCTTCCCTTCCTCTCCCCACAAGACTCCCTATGTAGGTGGGGCGAGAGCTGCGACTGACCCAAGGTCACCCAGCTGGTTTCACGTGGAGAGTGGGGAATCAAACCGGGTTCTCCAGATTCGAGTCCACAGCTCTTAACTACTACACCCGCCTGTAGATGGACTTAACCCCTGGTGTTGCTGTTCTTTTGTTTAGCCAAGAAAGTCTCAGTTCAGGGGTGGAAGAGCTTTTCCTGGGCTGTACCACTTTAGTCTGTGGGTAAGCCTGTTGCATTAGGATAACTTTCCTGTAGCTAAAACTCATTGCATGCCTAAAAATAGCTGATAAGGAAAGAAACTAGACTTACCCATTCGCTCTTGACATGCTAAAGTATGTTTTCTGGATGTTGTTTTTTCCCTTTACAAAGGAGGTCCAGACCCTATCAAAGGTTCCTGCTTTTCAGGTGTCTTGCACCAATAAAAATGAAATATTACCATTATCATTCCAGTCATTTTTGGGTTTGCATTCTGTGCAAGCACAGAGGCGATACAGTGCTGCTTGCAGGTTAGTAGGAAGGAAGGCTGAGGCTCAAGACAGAGACACCTGTTAAGGCTTGAGCTTTCTACTGAGATTGCCTGTTTAAATATACCATGTATCCGGATGACAAATAAGGGTGAGAGTTCTTAAGAAATATGGCTATTTTGTAATATGTAATTATTTTTGGAATGTTTCTGATGATTATATTTATTTTGTAGTTATTCTTTATGAAAAGCATATTCAACCAACGTTGAATAAGGGATAGAAGACACATTTTGTATGTATAAAGAATTTTTATTAGTACCGTATATTGGATTGTATACATTGAGGTACATTGCACATCTTTGTAATATTATAAGGATATCGCAGTCCCGTTCAGATGAAGTCTTCACGAAAGGAGTTGACATTCTAGAGAACTTCGTCAACAACTATAGATTTGAACCTCCTGCTTGCACTCTTGTATATGACATGACTGCCTATTTGATAGAATACAGTGTAATTATTTCCCTAGCTCTTGTGTGTTGTGTAGTGCTTGTTTACAGCTTTTTGTGGTCTTTTGGTCTCTCTTCATAACCTGCTACAATTTCACTTTCCTGTCCCCGCAATGGGCCTACCATGTCCTTGCTTTTTCTTACTTGGAACATAAGAGAACTTTTTTTGTTTTTAGCATTTCTCGCTAGCCTAAGCTCATACTGAGCTTTAGCTTCTCCTTCGGCAGGGGAAGTCATCCAAGTTGGTTAGGTACGCCCCCTTTCGCTCCAGGCAGAGCTATGCAATTTTTTTGTATCCCTAACCAGGACCCAGGGGGAGTATCTTTCTAGTGTGACTAGCCCTGCGGCTCCAGCAGATCATCTGAGCTTAGCTCCTCCTATTCCCATAAAGAAAAGCAAAATTAAATGGAGGAGACTGTGTCCAAAAAGACCCAGGATTTGGGGCCTGGAAAAAGGAAAGAGAATCTATCCGCACCACGTTCACAGACAGAGAAGAGCCCTTGGGCTCCAGACCCCCACCGATAGCAGTTGAAGAGACAGGCAAGAAGGGCACACCAACTTCCTTTCTAACTCCAGACAGGGCAATAGCTACAGCGGGGCCCGGGGAACCCACGTTTTTTACCGCCTGGGAGGTCAGAGTGGAGGGCTGCTGAGCAGGGACACCTGCTGCCCACCGCGCCTGCCTGCCTCCATCCCTGCCAGTCAGCCGGGCTCCTGCAAGGAAGGATGCAGAAGCAGCACCTTGCTCTCTCCCCCTGCCTGGCCTCTGCCGTTGGAGACCAGCTGGGGGGGCTCCTATCCTTGCCACCTCGGGGGCAGGTCGCACGAGGCGGGCTTGGTGCTGGCCCTTTTCTCTCCACCCCTCTGCTGCTGCCCTTCTGAGGCTGACAGTGCTGGCGGGGTCAGCAGTGGGTAATCCTCTCCGAGTCTAAGTCTTTCTTCCTGCAGAGGCAGCAGCTGCCTAGACACTCACCTTGCCAGTGTCCTGGACCAGCCCTCCATCACTTCTTTGCCTACTTTCCCTCGCCATGTGGCCTCCTCCCCCCAGACAAGAGGAAGGGGGCATCCTTATTTTCCCCAGCTCTTGTGTGTAGCATTTGTTTACACCTTTTTGTTACACCCACGCAGAACAGAAAGTGAGGCGAGCGGGGGAGGGATGCCTCCCATGCGCATAAACTTTTAAGCGAATCAGAGGGGGGGGGGCAGAAAAGCGGTTATAACTGCTGAGAGAGACTTACCAAGGCGAGCTTGAGCGTTTAAGCGCATATTCAGACACTTTTAAAAACTTTTGCAAAAGTAAACAATCCAAAAAGATGGCTGGGAAGAGGATGGAGAAAGAGAAACTGTTAAAAGCAAAAGGAACTGAGAGTCCAAGGCCGGAAGCAACCAATGAGCTGGCAAAGACATTGGCAGAATCCATGCTCCCCCTGCTGGATCAGATGAATAATATCAGGGAGCAGCTGTCAACAATGAACCAATGTATCACCACCCAGCAAACACAGTTGGATGAGACTCTTAAAATGATGAATCAAACAGCTGAGGTGAAAGAAGTGGACGCCACTGCCCAAAGGGTGAAGAAGAAAGTACAAAAACTGGAAGAAGCAAATCTCCACAGAAGATCAGCTGTTACAGCTACAAATGGAAAAAGCCAGTTTGATTCTTCGCTTCCAGGGCATTCCAGAGCCTAAGGGAGAGAACTGAAGGAAATGATGAGTGAATTACTGGTCCCAGTGACAGATATGAAGGCGGAATCTTTGCTGAGCGATATGGATGTGGCCTACAGGTCATATTCTAGATATATAAAGAAAAATAATCTGCCTGGGGAAATAGTGATAAGATTCTCAAAGAGGCATGTGAGGGATGCAAATCCTGAAAGCGGCATCTGGCACACCCATGAAAGTTGGAGAAAATAGTATCAGAATCTTAAAAGACATTCCATTTGAAATAAGACAAAGGAGGAAGAAGTACAAAGATTTAATTCTTTTTCTCCAGACAAATGCAATCGGATATAGATGGCTAACTCCAGAGGGCGTAACCTTCAAAATTAAGGATAAAAAGGGAAAGATTCACTCTGTTCAGAAATCACAGGAATTTTTAAGAGCCCATCTGGGAGAGCCAGGGGAGGAAGGATAAAAAGGGATGGGCAACAAGTCCAGTGGCGAGCTGGACTCAGGGTCTTCCGGAGAAGATTCTCTACCAGAGAAAGGGGTAGCAGCCCCCAAAAGTCCTTACAAACTGTGAAAGAGACTGGGCAAGGGAAAATGAAGACTGAAGGACTCTGAACTGTGCTTTTGAAATTACTGAAACTAGATGCTTAGGGATCTCTCTTGTAACAGTTAAAATTAA